AGATGGCTTGGGTTGAACTTTCATGGGGAAGACAAGGATCATGGGAAAAAAAAGTGAGAGGCAGTGTAGAGTCCACCAGGGTGGCAGCAAGCTGAATCGACTTTGATCCGGATTTAACCGGCTGATGATAAACCTTCCTATCTCCCACCTCAGCTGTACCACACCCCTTTTTATCTGCAAATGCTGAATATGTGAGCAGTTAAAGAAAAATTGGAAATTATGGAAAGCTGCAAGAATCAGACATTAACAAACATTTCCCACCCCCAATGTTACCCCCTAAAGAGCAGCACCAGACGTGCTTCAGCAGGCTGCCTTCCTGCCCTCAGAGGGCATTTGCAGCTTTATATGGTTCTCACCTGCTCTTCCCGCCCCAGCTCTATAAGTATTCCTTCCGCTTATTTATTTCTTTCATTCTGATAATATGTATATAACATTTTAACCATTTTCTAATTTCCATGGCACTAAATCATATTCAGGTTGGCAACCATCACTGTTATTCATGTATTCTACATCTGTTAAAGAATATCTCGCAAACCACACTAAATAGCTGAGCAATAGTCTGGTATATATGATTTATATATGTCATCTATATCCTATTTACCTGTAAACGCATAGCAGATACTTATTTTGTGCTCACTGTCATAGTTTATGATTAAGGTAATAAACAAAATATGGTGTATGGCGGGATGGGGCAATGACTTGGCAGTTAAGGGCACTGGGTATTCTTGTAGAGGAGTTAGGTTCTGTTCCAAGCACTCACATGGAGGTCACAACTGTCTGTTATTCCAGTTCCAAGGGATCTGATGGCCTCTCCTGGCCTCTTTAGACCCCTGGCATGCACAGATAGACATGTAGGGAAAGCAGCTGTAATGTAAAAGTAAAAATTAATAATATTAAAAAATATGGTGTTTGTTGTACAGGACCTTGGAATCCAGGAGGAAATGGCCAGTTTGATTCCTGTAGCGGTTCTGGCGCAGGGTTTGTGGGGTCATGTAAATGAGGGGAATTTGACTTGAGGCTTCATTTGTGAGATTATTTCTTGGTTGTCGCAAATCTCACGCATCAGTTCTTTGCTTTCATAAATAATAATAATTGCAAAGTGTTTATTCATGCAAATCTTTGGCCATATTTCATATTTAGCCTTTGTTTTCTCCCTAAAGGAATTCTTGTCATTTTTTTTTCCTTTTTGTTTTCTTCATCAGTGTTCCGCTGTGTGAGTTGCTACCCTCCCGCCTTCGTGTTCCAATCGCTGGGACTCTAGGTGTCCTCTCCTGTTTCCTTCTATGGTGGTATTCACCTTCCTTGTTAAAGATGGATCTGGACTGACTAGTATCTAGAGCAGGCATGAGTCCTGCTGGGGAGCGTATTTCTCATGTTCTGGTGCCCCCCACCCACAAGTTCTTGCAGCGTGTTCTCTGCATCTCTTCTTCCATTGGAAAGTTTCTGTTGAGTCTGGGAAAGTCATCCAGTACATCGTAACGAGGCTCATTTAGCTACCTTGGGTTTTGAGAAGTAAATCACACTTTGGTGATACAGTAAATGCAGGAGCATCTCCAGGATTGAACAGAACAGTTTTTAGATAAAGTCTTACTTTAAGGAGCAGGGATATTCTATAGGTGTTTGATATAGTCATTTGGTAATGGCTGAGAGTTGATGTTTAGTTGTTAAGACACACCTCCAAACACACGTGCATATTTATGTTAGTATACATGTTTTTAAAATATACAGTTAATCTTCCTTTTAAGGTCAGATTTACTGGGGAAAAGTGTGGAAGTGTAGGTCATGGCTTGTCCAATGCATGGCAAGGCCCTCAGCTGTATCTCCAGCATCATGTGCATAGGATGTTAGCCTTGTTGAGTTGGTGCCGTCGTCTTTACTTCAGCAGGACACTAACCACAGGACCAGAGGCTGTGAGAGTAGGAATTAGAGAAGAGAAAGGGCCTGGGATTTGGTCTGAGGCTATGAGCCCTGAATCAATTGTTGTACAGCTGGGAAAATCCCAGGGTTAAATCTAGACAATTTCCGGTGATTCAGATTGTAAACCATTTCGCTGTGTTATCAAGGCCTTTCATTTAAGAGTGGAAGAAGTGATTCCTCTTTTTCTTGTCAGGTTTTTTTTTATGCTAGCAATTTCATCCGTAATTAAAAAGCATTGGCGTTTTCATTATGAAAATGGCTTTTTTGAGTATAACGAGGGAACCACTAAATCCAGTTGTTTAAAACCCACTGGCATCGGCCTGTGCAGTTACTTTTGTGTGAAAACAACTTAACATTGATTTTGGGCTTTCCGAGTTTGACGGCGTCAGTTTGCTCCCGCGTTCTGGGAGGCCCCAGGAGTCCAAGCAGCTGCTAAAGAGTCGTGGGGATTCGGCTCCGCATGCTCTTTAGTTGAGCCTGCTTTTCCTTCAGCAGCCTTTTTTTTTTTTGCTAGGGCAGCCATAAGAGCATTAATGAACAGGTCATTAAACAACGGATGCTTATTTCCTCACAGTTCTGGAAGGCCTAGGTCAAGGTGTCAGCCCTCCTGGACTCCTGAGGTCAGCCTCCCTGCTTGCACACAGCTGCGCCGCCCCCGTGTCCCCATAAGGTATTCCTTTGTGGGTGCACACCTGGTATCTTTTCCAGAAAGAATTCTTTCAGCACACCAGTCTGATTAGGCTCCGCCTCATGTTAGTTAGCATAATCATTTCTTTAAAGGCTGCAGCTCCTAGTGGAGCCCTCCGAAGGAGCCAAGTGTTAGGACTCGGACGGGTGGGGGGGGGGATTCTAAGGAGTCACAGTTCCCATAACATTGACTTCAAACAGCATTGTTTTCTTTTTGTATGGGGAGAAGAGTATAAAGAAGAAACCAAGATTAGCACTGTGCCACGTTACTATCTGTTACTAAGCGGGGAGGGGGACAAGGAGACGAAAAGCTGCGTGAACCGGCTTCGGAGGATAGTAAGGGAAAACCGCGTTCTCTCTCCTAGCCCTTGCCTGACAAGTGACTGCTGACATTTGCGCTTTTTGGTTTTTGGTTGAGGCTGAGTGCAGTTTTTCCCATGTGTTAATGTGTCATAAGGAGGCATCCGTGGCACTGACTGGCCTGAAATGCTATGTAGCAATTCATCCTCTGTGTGTGTGAGTGTGTGTGTGTGTGTGTGTGTGTGTGTGGTTTCACTTTGGTCAGCTATCAGTGGCCATTCAGACTGTTTCCAGGGCCACGCCCACTCCTAACTGCCAAGGTGGAGAACTGCATTCCCTTTAAAGCCTAAGATGGAAAGAACCGCTTAATAAAGTGAGTCGGCCTCTACCTTGGGTGAAAAATGGTCTCTGTTTCTCAGCTTCCTGTTTATTGTTGGTTGGGGCTGTGGGAGCTTTTCAGCCTCTTAGAAGAGGCCATGCTGTGCAGAGAGGGATTTTCCTTGGCCACTGAGGTCATCTCAGCCCTGCCCAGGAAGAGGGGTCTGTCTGAGTCACTAGCGGGAGTGCCCACTTGCAGTTCGGTCGAACTGCCTTTCCTATGAGAATGACTGTTGCCTCTGACTCCTTCCTGCCTGCCCCCAGCCTCTGGCAAGGTGGCAAGGTGGCAAGGAGCCAGCTTTCTGATGGAATGTGCGCCGTCTTAGCCCTCACCAAGATCTCAGTGTAGGCCAGGTTGGCCAGCAGCTCCTGAGGTTAGCAGACCAATGTGACCTGGATGCTGAGGGTGGAGCACTGCTCTGCTTGGTGCAGGGTTTTCCACGCCCCTCTCTTAGCCTTAGGTGTCCCCTGCCGTTATTTTAAAAGCTGCGCCAAGGTGCAGAAGCTTCTGGAATGAAGCCGTCTCTTAGAGGTGTTGCTCATTTCCCGGCTCCTGGAGAGTTTATTTTCACCTGGGACTTCTAAAACCCGCGTAACCAGTGTCATATTTACCCGGCTGGGATAAACGCTGGGAGAGAAGAGCTCTCTTCTAAAGCAGCCTTAGGCTCCCTTCGCAGTCCCCAGGAGGCCCCGAGGGGACTTGTGTCTCCCTGATGATGTTAGTGTTTCTGAGGCCCAGATTCTGTGGTGCTGTGGACATGTACGTTTGGGCCTGGGCGCGGGAAATGTGTAATTCAGCAACAGATTTAAAGGGTTGTCGGCGTGGTTTCTAATTACTGTTTGTTTGGTTCACCAGTGCCTAATAAGTAGATGTAAGTAACCTCAGGAGCGTGGAATGCAACGCTCGTGTTACAGGCAATCATGCAAATCAAATTCTACCCAAGGATTGCAGCACACACCGTGGAGTCATTGTTAGAGAAGCATGCCATCGGATTTTCTGTTTAGAACAAGAGCAGTTTGGAACTTTCCCACATGTCCTGCACCGACAGGAAGGACACATATACCTGAAATCAGCTACCCTGTGCAAACCCATTTCAAACTCACTGCTGGTCTCTGGCGTTCAGTTTTCTTTTTTAATTTAACAGGATAATGAGGGAGGGAGAGACTTCCCGGCTTCTCTTCCTTCCTTCTTCATCCAGCATTGCCCGTATAGGAACCTAAAGCACAGGTCTGGACCAGTGGGTGTCAACCTTGGGTACAGCTTGGCACCAGATTGGGAATTTTCAGATGCCTGGAACCTGATCCTCAACACCAAGGTGCTGGTTTAATTGTCTAGGATGCAGTCTCCACTGGGGTTTTATTATGTTCTCAGGTTAAGAGGCCAGGGATTTGAGCTTTGTGAGATAAATCTCAGCCCTGACCACACCCTGGCGGCACCTGGAGGTTTTGAGGAAACCCTGATGCCCACCCAAGAAGACCACATTTCTGGAGGGAACAGGGTTTCTGAAAGGCTCTGGGCAATTCTGATGTGCAGCAAGAGTCTGGCCAACTGACTAACTGACCTAACCATGTCCTAACATAAGGAAAAGTGGAGTGACTTGGTCACGGTCAGACTTTGGCTACAGAGCAGGCCTAGAACTCAGGTCTGACGCCTCTTCTGGCCAACGCCAGCCCATATGTTTGTTTATTGTATTTATTGATACCTCCTCATCCTTCAGGTGATGTTCCTGACTCCAGGAGGCCTTTTCTGGCTCCTCATTCTCTCCTACCATCCGGTCTGGGTAAGATCCCCCTCGGTTGTGTTTGAACGGCACTTTTCCTTAGGATTCCCCTCACTCGCGCGGTCAGTTCTGGAGAGCAGCCCCTAACATTTTTGTTCACTGTGTAACCCGATGCATTAGGTTTTTAGGTACCATTTGCTGAACTGCAGTTCCCTAACTTTCGGTTAATCCGTCGGCCCGCATGCCTTGCTAAAAATAATCAGATTCTGTGTACTAACTCTAACAGCTAAGTTTGCTTCCTGTGGCCTGCTGCATTATGGGTCATGATCCTGTGGTGGGAGGGGATATTTGGAAAGACAGTGTTAATGGCGGTATAATGAGAACAAGATGTTGGTGTCCTGGCATGTGGACCAGGGTACTTTGACTAGCAAGCTGCCGTCAGGGTGCTGACGTGATGAAATGGAGCCTGTGACCCCCTCGGCAGATCGAAAGTGATCTGATGAAAATAGAATTTCATGGAAATGTGCTTTAAATCATCTTTGTGTTCATGCTGAACATGTAACTCTGAGAGGCCACAAGCCAAATAGCTGAGTTAAATTCCTTGGCCTCGAATATGCCTGTTTTCTTAAGTGACGCAAGCACTGCCTTCTCCTCTGTCATTCTAGATATTTAGAATAGTGGTTTTTCCTGGGAAATCTCTGCCAGCTTGGTGTGCCCGTGTTTCCTGGTTGTGGCTCTGTAGCTGTTAGGTGGTTGTGATGCTTGTTGTAAATGAGACCCCTGGGAAGATTGTCGTGGGTGAAACCTTCTTGGAACCAGGACTGCAAACTGGGCAGCGTTGCGGGTAGATCCTGGGATGCTGCGGTGTTGGGGCTCGGTGGCCAAAGTGCATAGATCTCCTTTGAAATCTGCGTAAGACATCTCACCTCACAGGCTCATGGTTAGCAGGGACTGTCCCAACACAACCGGGGTGTATGGAAGGGAACCCGCCACACGTCAGGGAAATGCTTCCAAAACCAAACACTCCTGAAAGTGTTGGCGGAAAGAAAACAGATTGACTTGGAGATAAATGCAAACCGGTTCTATTCGCCTGTTTTCTGAGACAGGGTCTCCTGGTGCAGGTCCTGAACTTGCCATAGCTCAAAGATGTCCCTAGACTTCTGATTTTCCTGTCTCCCCTTCCTTAGGACTGGATCACAAGTGTAGGCCACTATACCTAGTTCCAAACTGTAAAACATTTTTATATTGAGTAATTTTACTACATTGTAAAAAGTGCATTTTTTATCACTTTTAAAACAAAAATCTCTCCAGGACAGATAGAGATACACAGAGAAACCCTGTCTCGAAAAACCAGAAGACAAAACAAAAACAAAAATATTGAGAACAATTTCTGCCGAGTTGAGTTTTTATTGTTTGTTTGTTTTATTTAGTTTTACATTTTGGATGAAGAATTCAACAGACCAGTAAAAGCCTAGTAATGAGTAACTAACTTTTGCTATCCAAACTTCAGAGGCCTGACAGTATTTTCTAGCAATAAAAAGGAAGAGAGAAACTAATTAATTAAACTAATTAAACCTATAAGACACAATGTTCCCATCTAAGTCACACTATTGACCTTCTGTAACTGTCCTACAATTTAGGACTCAGGTTTTACAAGTAAACACATTTCCCACCTCCCCCCTAAAAAAGAGCTAGAATCTAAACTCAAGTCTTTCTGATTTCAAAGTCCTGTGTCTTTGGTCCGGTGTTGAGGTCTCCCGATAAGACTGCTTATTAACGGAGAGCATTTACTAGCCTGGTGGAAGAGCACATGCTTTAGCTCAGTGTTTCTCAACCTGTGGGTCGTGACCCCTTTGAAGGGCCAAAAGGCCTGTGAAAGGGGTCGCTCAAAGGCCATTGGAAAACACAGACATTTCCACTACAATTCAGAACAGTGGAAAAATTACAGTTATGGAATAACAATGAAACAACTTTATGGTTGTGGGGGTCACCTCAGCATGAGGAACTGCATTAGGAAGGTTGAGAACCATTGAGTTAGCTTCTTGGATTTTCTGTTAAGCACTGATAAGTTGATGAGATGACAATTGTTTGTGAAATGTGGAGAAAAGAGAAGCAGGGTCCATCTCAATGGGCTTGCGAATTGTTGAGCTGCCATGAAAAGCAGCATGGTGGTTCATAAAAGCAGACAATTCTGGTTCTACCATGTGCCCAGAGGAGATCAAACCAATGTCTGTGTCTCTGTGGCCTTTGACGCATTATTTGTAATAGCTCAAGTATGGAAATCCATGTCTATTGATGATAAATCGATAAAGAAATTATGGGATGTGTGTATGTGTAGTATGTGCACACTTATGAGTATTATTTAGTCATAAAAGAAGGAAATGTTCCATTTGTGATACCATACAAGAGTCTAGAGGACATTGTGTTAGTTAAAATATGGCAAGAAAAAGAGATTACTGTTCATTTGTGGAATCTGAGAAAGTCAAACTCATAGAAGCCGCGAGCTGAACAGTGGTTGCCGGTCGTCCAGGCCTGGAAGAGGAGCATGAACAGGTGCTGATCTAACAGCACTTCAGTTCAAGGTGAGTGCGTCCCAAGGACCAGGCGTGCTGCAGTGCGGTGCGGTGAGTGGTGGTGAGCCCAACCGAGGCGATCTACGCACACAATGTAAGTGCACAGCAAAGCACTTTATGTGAGTGTGTTCCCTCTTTGCCAATTACGTCATCCTAAGAGGGTAGAGCTAACGGCCGCCTGTGGTCTAAAGTCATGGCCGTAGAAATCTGTGATCTGATTCTCAGATATGTTTGATTTGGAAGAAGCAGATGAGCCAAATGATTTGTGGTTTGGGCTTCATCACTGAGATCCTGGATTTGAGAATCCAGCCTCCCTGGCGTGCTACTTGCATGACTGTGAAAATATCCCTCTACCTTAGTTTCTGCATCAGTCAAATGAGACATTATAACTTCATTGCACTATTTTCTTTCCATTGGCCCTGAGTTAGAAAAATATAGTAGCCCTATTAAATGGTTCTGTCCTGTGTACACAAATCTTGTTTTCTCTGCTGGGACGTTGTCCACTTCCTGTTTGGGAAGCTTGTCCATCAACTCTGTGGTTCACAGGTGGGTCACAAGGTTTCCTGGTTGCTTCCTGGAGATCTCTGACTTAGCTTGGTGGATGAGACGTGCTTATTCTAACCGAGCTGAGGATCACTGTTCTGGCCCCTTCGGTCATCTGAACACACGGCTGGGTGAGGAATGCCGTGCTGGAGCCCTGTTCCTGCGTCGTCAATCACAACGTGTATTTGTGTGGGGTTCAGGCTTATCTGGTGTGTCACCTTCCGAAATGCTCCGTTTCCCTTGCTCTGGGGTGCTACTTCATCGGAGTTCTGTGCACAGCTCACTTCCTCCTTGGAACTACTTCCCAGTTTGTCTTCCCAGCTCCTATATTCTTTGGTCCTTTGTTAGCATTTCCTTGACTGTAGGATGTCAGAAAGTTGACTTTTTTTTTCTGGTATAGGTTTCTCCACATACACTTTTGTACCCCAAGGATTTCAGTTGCAACCCTTTTAACTATTTTGAGTTTCAAACTCTTTATCTGATGAAATCTAGATTTGCTTCATGCCTCACATACCCCATCCTGCCTCTTCTGCTACCTTCCCCATCTGTGGATGGTGTTACCCTCTCCCTATATCCAGAGTTGAAATGCTGTCCACACGTCCTGGGGAAAGTCTTGGTTTCTCTTGTCTTCTTTCCCTCCAGGACTTGAGTTTTCATTCCAAAATGATCTTGAGTTTGTCTCCTCTGTCTCCACTTCGGTCATCTTTGTCACCTGCCCTCAACAGTGTTCTGATGTGTGACTCCCATCTTTGCATCGGGGAGCACTGTGTTGCTGCGGGCCCCCCCCCCCCCCGTATTGCTTGCCCGGAAGTGTGTGTTTCACTGGGCTCCATCTGGGTTCTTCCTCTACCTCTGTTTGTTGCTGAGCCTCTCATCTCCGCCTTCCTTTGGGGTCACGTTGGCTGGATATAATGAGATGTCTGACGTGAGGATGCACTCTCTGTCTTTTAGTATCTTTCAGTCTTGCGGGTTGACACCAAGGCGGTGTCTCAAGCACACGGAGACGCTTTCTGCTGTCCTGCCCTCACTTTTCCCCTTTCCCCCAAAGCTTTCCTTTTGCAGCCAACTTTTGTCACATCCTTTCAGGTCTCAGATAGCATCCCCAGGGACTCTTCTCTCACCACCAACCCCAAATAGTTGCCCGGGGCATTATCTGCCACAGCAGTCTGTGTGTTTCCTTCCTATCACTAAACAGTGTAAGTTATTCTGGAAGTACTGACACCAGGCTTCGGCTGCAGAATCCAAGCTCCCCACAAAGAACACGTTATGATTTGTGCGTTGGTGCATCTCTACATGGTCCTGGGTCTCCTGAGATGGACTCTTTTTTTCTTTTAGTCTCCGTGATTGACAAAGAGCTCCACTACTGCACTGCATACCTGCCACTTCCTTTTTGTAAAAACCCATTTGTGTATTACTGTGTGTGTGTGTGTGTGCATATGTGTGTCTGTGTACACGCGTGTATGTGCATACGTGTGTTTGTCTGTGTGTGCACATGTATCCCTGCATGAGTTTATGTACCATGTGTGCAGGAACCCATGGCCAGAAGAAGGCATCGGATTTCCCTGGAACTGGAACGAGAGGCATTGTGAGCCTCTAATTAATCAGAGGGACTGTGAGCCGCCATGTAGGTGCTGGGAACCATAACTGGGTCCTCTGCAAGAAAAGCAAATGCTCTTAACGCTGACCCTTCTCTTTGGTCTCTCTTTCTCTTTTAAGGAGAGAAAGAAACAGAAAAAAATTGAAAAAGATTTACAGAGTTAGCCGTATGCTTGCATTATTAGTAAATTAAATAATTCCTAATCTGTTGTGAAAGTGGTACTAGCTCTTATTTGCTGTTCCCTAGAGACCAGAGTTTTCATCTTGGGCTGATTCTTGCAGTCATTTCCCTGCAAAATATTTCTAATCGACATACTGGAATTGTATTTTATCTATTTTTCAGTTTTA